AGCCACCAGCATGGGGCAACCAAGGGGCATGGGGACCTCCCAAAGTCTCATAAAAAGCATGCATGGTGGCCTTACTGAAAACAAGAACGTTATTACGTTAACTTACCCACTGAAACTTCCTGTTAGCCATCTGGCCCCACGCTATCTCATAAATAACCCATGCTTTCCCCGGTTACTTAACTAGTACCCCACCGTGAATCTGCTCCGTATTTCAGTCTACCTGTCTGACTGCCCCTGGCCGGCAGCCTTCGCTCCCTTGCCTTTCCTGCCATTGCCCTCTCCTGATTCCCACGCCTGGCGTTCTGCAGCCTCCCTGCCCTCCCTTGCAGTCTGCCCTGCGGGGCTCTCTCCTGGGGCCGCCCTGGGTGACCTGCGATCCCATGACGCCACTTCTCAGCTGAAACTCGAACTCCGGGTGGCCACCTGCGGTGGTGCAGGTTGGTCATGGTACCGCGGTGTCAGGCCAAGCGGGCATGTCGGGCGAAGTCCATTCTGCTCTCTGCCTGCCCAGCGGTGCACCCAGAGTCCCCAGATCCCACCTCTAGCCCAGATGTCCCCTGAGCCACAGACCCATCCATCCAAATATGTGCTCTCCATCTCTCCCAGAATGTCCCGCAAGGAACACGCTCTACGTGGATTCACATTCTTTCTCCTAAACCTGCTTCCCCCTTCCCCCATCCCATCCCCGATCCTCACTGCATGGCTGCGGCACATGGGGCAGAAGCTCTTTGTGCCCTGACTTGAAGCACCCCGTCTGACAGATTCTCTCCCCTCCTCTCCGGCCAGCAATGCACACGGAGTTGACCTCATTATTTCTCTTCTCATTTAGTCTGCCAGGCTCTGTGCTTGCTGTCTTAAACCCTTCACTCTGCTGCACAAGCCATCTTGCCACAATGGCCTGTTCATGTCACACACGGCTCTGGGTCCTACCACAGTCCCCACTGCCCACAGGGCCAAGTCCCCAGGCCTCCAAGTGCCTCAGGGGTCTTTCATGGCTCAGACCCCTAAGCACCCCCCTCACTTCTGTGTTCCTTACCAAACACATCAGCCTCTCCTTGCGGCCTGGCCTTTGAGCATGCAGAGACCTCAGCATGGATCCCCCAGTCCAGTACCCCCTGCTGGAAGGCTGGTTGGATACCCAGAGGAAGTTAAAGACACCCTTCCTTGGGCCCCAGATTCCCCTGCGGACACCCACAGCACCTGCTGGTGTCTGTGTGTCTGACGCCTTTAGAACTGCGACCTGTGAAGGCGGAGAGGGCCTCTCTTTGGATCTTGTATCCCCACAGCCCATGCAAGCGCCGTGACAATCCCTGTCCATAAAATCCCACGTGAGTTGGAAATAAGCAGTTTAGCCAGAGCCAGACAATACTAAGGTACATGGAGCTTTAAACTCCTTCTGTCTGCATGTGGTACAAAAACGGGGACAGATGCCTACTGTGCGCAAGCAGCCTCTGAGAAGGAACTGGTTAGGAAGTGAGGAAGACAGAGTATTTGGGAAAAAACGGGAAGAGAGGATGGCCGGGCGGCTTAGAGCGGGGTCACAGTGCATCTGCCTCCTGGGCAGTGGTGCATGCCTCCGGCCTGACCCACAGGTGGGCCAGGCCCCCGTCAGGGCAGAAAGCTGGATACAGCCGGCCCAGCTGCGAAGGGACAAGCTCCAATGTCAGGAGGTCAGATCCTGCAGGTGTGAGAAGAGCAAACAGCTATTCTCAGAGGTCCTTTCCTGCAGAAAGGCGGTCAGATCCAACAGTCGTGACAGCAGCCCCGCAGCCAAACAAAGCCGCCTGAGAAAGGTTCCAGAGGACCAGAGAAGCAGGCCAGCCTCCCATCCCCTTAGACCAGTGGTTCTCAGCCTTTCTAATGCCATGACCCTTAAATACGGTTCGTCATGTTGTGGTGACCCCAACCATAACATTGTTTTCGTTGCTACTTCATAACTGTAACTTTGCTACTGTTATGAATTATAATGCAAATATTGCAACCCACAGGTTGAGAACCACTGCTGTAGAGCCTAAGACCATTGGAAAGCATTACGATTCATTAACAGTAGCAAAATTACAGTTATGAAGTAGCAACGAAAATAATTTTATGGTTGGGGGTCACCACAACATGACGAACCGTATTAAAGGGTCGTGGCATTAGAAAGGTTGAGATCCACTGCCTTAGACTAAGGAGGAGAATCTTTCACATGATGCTCAGTCTATATACAGTCCCTCCAAACATGACTACCTCTTTGCTATCTGGAGGGCATTTCCATTGGCAGCCCTTTCCTCATCCTCCTCGTCTGAGCTGAAGGGTACCTCCTCCTCCAGGAAGCCTCCCCTGACCTCCAGTGTCTCATATGAATTTGCTCTCACAACACCCTGGGCTTCCCCTTCATGGTCCTGCTCAGCATTGTTATCAAATACATATTTATTTATTCATTGTTATCAAATACATATTCATTTATTCATTGTTATCAAATACGTATTCATTTAAATTCTGTGGCCACTATAAGAAGAAGCACGTAGAGGGCAGGGACTGCTTCTGTCAGATCCCCAGCATTCAACACTCTGCCTGGAACAGATCTGAGGCCCACTAAGCAAGAGTCTGCTGAGGGAACAATTCGATCAATCAAGCAGCTGAAGAATGAATTAAACAATGAATGGATAAGACTGGCCCATGTCTAGAATGCAAGACCAAGGAGCCAGGATTCCCCTGAGCACGTGAGAGAAGGAAGGGAAGGGGGAGCTGGGCCACTCCTACTGCAGGTGACGGAGACCACAGTGGGGTAGGCGGCCAATCCCAGCCCACCCTGCCGTCATACAGCCTGGACTCCCAAATGAACCCCACCTTTTACATTGTGAAATGGTTAAAAAGAAGACTATTTCAGTTTTTGAAATTCACATACCAGTGTCCACAAATAAGGCTTTATTGGAACACAGCCACACCCATTGGTTTCTGTACTGTCTATGGCTGCTTTTGCACGGCAGTGGCAGAGCTGAGGGGCTGTGAGAGAGAATATATGAGCCCCAAGGCCTAAAAGATATACTACCTTTACAGAAAAAGTTTTCTGAACCCTGGCCTACAGTGTCTTGCCATCACTATAGAACTCACCGAAGTAGCTGGCCCAGGGGCATATGCTAAAATCTGGGCTTCAGAAAAAAGCTGCCAGACACTGTTTGTTAATATAAAAATGGGACTTAAATATGCCCTTTATAAAGAAGGGCTAGTTAAACTAATATCCTACACTGGCTACTGCACAACTATCTTTAAAAATGAGTTAGGCTAAATGTACAAGTAGAGAAAGATGTTCATGGTACACTGTCAAAGAAATTTATAAAACATGGATAGTTTTTCAGTTTATTAGAAAGAATAGCCATATATATGTTTAGAAGGTGGGAAAATATGAATATGTGATAAATAGGGAACTAGAACAGGAATTTAAATTTTTAAAATACTTTTGCACTCACTGAAGTTTTTCCTGAGAGTATATTTTTCTCTAATTTTATTGACTTCAGAGAGGAAGGGAGAAGGAGAGAGAGATAGAAACATCAATGATGAGAGAGAATCATTGATTGGCTGCCTCCTGCATGCCCACTACTGGGGATCGAGCCCACAACCCAGGCGTGTGCCCTTGACCGGAATTGAACACGGGACCCTTCAGTCTGCAGGCCAACCCTCCATCCACTGAGCAAAATCAGCTCGGGCTACTATTCTCTAATTACACACACACACACACACACACACACACACACACGCTGATTTTAGAAAGTCCCTTCCCCTGCCCCCTCCCCCGCCCAGCATGGATCCCGATGCTTGATGACCTCAGAGTCACATGACCAGTTTCTGGGGAGCTGCCCAAAACACACTTTCCTCTAAACTTCAAAGTCTGATAACTGCAAAGCTGCTCCAGTTCGTTTTGAGGAAGCTTAAGATTAGAATGGCCAGAAAAAGTCCCACTTCCCTTTTCCTAGAAACCCTGGTTATTATTCAACGAGAACACCCCTCCGGGCCTGGGGAAGGCCCGGTTGCCAGGGGATGTGAACACACTGGCTTCTCTGCTGCTCCCTCCAACCACAGCTGGCTCTCCTGCACCAGGGCCCTGAGTGGAGCTCAGTCAGCAGCCCTATGTGTGGTCCTGGCGGTGGGATGAGGCGGCCGTCAGCGGAGGGAGGGAAGAGAGAAGCCAAGACTGAGCCACCAATAGGTGTCAGGTTCTGCCTTGGCACACCCGTCTGCGATTCCTACCAAACCTAACCCTCCGTTTCTCACCTTTGCTCCCCGTGGCAGTTTCCCTGGGGAGTCTTGCTAAGGTCAGAGCTGATAGCTGCTTTTACTCTGCCATGCCCAGGCCCTTGGGCCTGCACCACTACTCTGCTCAGCTGGCTGTAGTAGTCTGCCCCTCCTCCCTCACCCTGCAGGCAGCTTCCCGGATCCTAGAGTCACTGTGAAGGCCTGGAAGTCCCTAATAGCTGGGAGCACAGAGGTCAGTCCTTACTCAACTCGGAAATTGGAACCTGTTATCTGCCGGAATAAATCATCCCTAAGCAGCCCCAGCATGTTCCAAAGAATAGGCCAACACCCAGGCAGTGCCATAATCCTGGTGAGATCAGGCGACGCTGTGGGGAAGTCAGGGAGATGTCGATTCTGTGATTACTGTCTGGGTGGGAACTCCTGCATCCTTTAGTACATCTGGATCCTAAGACAGCATGCACAGCTCGGTGCTCAGCCTGATTCTAACCACCTGCTGACCACAACTTTTCTCCATCCCAACTGGAGGTTCAGTTCAGCAAACGTCCGAGTGGCTGTAAGGGTCCGAGCAGGACCCCAGCCTTGAAGGGCAGGCTTCCACATCCAGGCTCAGACCCCCACCCGCAGCCCCTCTCCTCTGCGGGGAGAGCTGCTTCTGAGGTCAACGTGTGAAGAAAATAAAAGCCAGGAGGCGGCGGAGGGAGAAGGCCTGTCCCTCGGAGAGATGGAAGCCGGGGGCTGGCACAGGCCGCCCAAGCGGGACTCACCATTGGTGGTCGTGTTGACATAGTAGCGCCGGCCCTGGGGGGACAGGTAGCTCTGCCAGCCGGGGGGCAGCACGACGCTCTGGCTCTCCTCTCCCGGCGGCGGGGGGACCATCCCAGGCTTCTGTGGAGGAAAAAAGGAGAGGTCACACACGTCTGGCATTTTCGCAGCCGTCTTTCAAGCAGGAAGTCAGGGCAGATGAAGTCACCCTGGGGCAGCTCGACGTGGAGGGTGTGTGGCCCACAGGCCCCAAAGGGAGGTCACAGGCCCCTCAGAGAGGTCACAGGCCCCTCAGAGAGGTCGCAGGCCCCTCAGAGAGGTCGCAGGCCCCTCAGGGAGGTCGCAGGCCCCTCAGGGAGGTTGCAGGCCCCTCAGGGAGGTCGCAGGCCCCTGAGGGAGGTCGCAGGCCCCTCAGAGAGGTCACAGGCCCCTCAGAGAGGTCGCAGGCCCCTCAGAGAGGTCGCAGGCCCCTGAGGGAGGTCGCAGGCCCCTGAGGGAGGTCGCAGGCCCCTGAGGGAGGTTGCAGGCCACGCTTGTGTGCCTTGGGCGGTTGTCTGAGCGTGAGGTGTGGGGAGCGCCTGCTGTCTCAGAGCCCTCGCAGAAGGGACAGGTCCCCCCCTCCCTCCCCCCTGAGGACAGAGGGACGTGCCGCTCAGTTGACAGCTGAGCTTTCTGCTCCGTTAGCCCCAGGAAGCCATGCTCGGGGGTGAGACACCTTCAAGGGGTGGGAGGTGCCGGGAGGTGCCATTCTCCGCACTCCCGTGTGGACCCTGCAGCCTGACAGCCCAGGGAGCACGAAGCACAGCAGAGCACACAGCAGAGGAGGCCTGGGCCTGCTGGGGACGCTGCCAGAAGCCACCGATGCCAGCCTGGGCAGAGGGAGCTGGGAAACCTCGGACAACAACACCATGAATCGAAGAGCGAGGTGGGTTTTCTCCAAGTGCCCAAACCCCCCTGTGCGGAGAACTGGAGCCTGGGACAACCCTGGTGTCCTTTCACCACACGCACCTATCTGAAACCAGGCGCAGGGAGCTTTTCCTGAAAGGATCAGAGAGAAGCAGAGAGAACAGAGAGACACTAGCAGAGACACAGGTGCTAAAGCAGGCGCTTCCCGGTGGGGTTATGGGCAGTTTGTCTCCTCTTCTTTTTACTTAACTTTTCCATCTAGATTTTCTTCAATAAACGCAGAAATAAAAGTTATTAGCTCCGGCCAATGGCGCCCAGTGGTTAGAGCGTCGGCCCAGGCACCACAGCGTCACATGTTCAATTCCTGGTCAAGGGCACGTACGTGAGTTGCAGGTTTGCTCCCCGCCCTTGGTCAGGGCACGTATGGGAGGCAACCAGTCTCTCTCACATCGACGTTCCTCTCTCTCTCTTCCTCTCCTTCTCCCTCCCTCCCTTCCACTCTCTCTGAAAAGCAACGGAGCAAATATCCTCAGGTGAGGATTAACAATAACAAAATAAATAAACGGAAGTTGTTAAAGAACATTTACACATAAAAAAAAGGGGGGGGCCCAAATTAGCTCACATCATCTCTGTGCCTTGCGGAGAAATAAATGGATAAATACAGTATTCTAGCCACAGCAGGACAGGAGCCATGATTTTCTCCGCGAAGCTGGACCCTGTTCAGAAACATTAAAGCTCACCGGCTCCTAAATGTCACCGGCATCCCTCCCCCCCCCCCCCCCCCCCCCCCCCCCCCCCCCCCCCCCCCCCCCCCGCCCCGCCCCCGCCATGCCTACAAGGCAGTTTTGAGTCACTGACAACCACAGCTTCATAGCTGGAGAGTGAGCGACACAGACAGGGCTTCCGAACTGCGGAGCTCTCTGCGGACTGCAGGGCCCGCACTCCCGTTTCCCGGGGAGCCCAGCATGGCTTCAGTGGGGATCGGGGATCCGATCAATCCCAGCTGCTCCAGGGACTGCTCGTGAGCACGGCTCCCCATGGTCCTCCCTGCATGTCTCATTATGAACTTTCACAATTTAATTAAAAGCCTTCCCTGTGCCCCGAACGCTTCTGTCTCCCACACCGGTTGACCCGCAGCGCCTCTGCGATTCCGTAGGGAAGACAGGCTCCTAGACCGCCCGGTGCCAGCCCAGCACACACCTGGACACGCTTACCTGGGCCTCCAGACACTGATCTGGCCTCTCCAGGTTGGAAGATGGTCAAAATATACGCAAGATAAATAGCCTGAGGATGAGTGCAGCGTGAGTGTGTGTGTGTGTGTGTGTGTGTGAGAGAGAGAGAGAGAGAGTGAGAGAGGAGTGAGTGTGTGTGTGAAATACCCACACTACAGGAGACACACATGTTGGCTCCGTAGGGCTGGGAGTAAACAGGAACAGGGAGGTCAGGGGGCTTGCCTTTTGAAAGAAATGGTCTAGAATAGGTTGCTTCTGCCTGAGGCACAGCCTCTAAGGGAAGACCGGACGGAGGCTGGTCGGGTGACCTGGGAGGAAGTGGGAAATTGTGAAAGAGTATTAAGCAAGGGCAGAGACTGACAGGGGCAGGATGAGGCTGCAGGGGAGAGAGGGACCCAGCAGCGGAGTGAGCCTGCCCTCCAGCCTGGAGCTCAGTGGGACGTAGCCACTGAGTAGCCCGGGACCCAGGGACAGACACACTGGCCGCCCTCCTTCAGCGTCTGTGAGAGGAGGATGACGTTAGCTCAGCTGTGGGACACACCGTGGAGACCGGCAGTAAGAAACTCCGCACCTGGGAAAGCGCCTGTCACCAGGAATACTCAGGAAATGGGGATCTCCGGGGGACGGAGGGCTGACTGGATGCGAGTGAGAACTCTGCCTCCTGCGGCATGAAGTTTGCCCACCCTCACCGTCGCTGCGTGGAACACACCACCAGCAGCAGTCACTTGTCCCAGCTTTCTGTTTCCAAGACGACCGCTTAACACAGGCCGCTGGGGAGGCCTCCACGCGAAGGCGCTGCTGCCGGGAGGAGGGGGGGGGGTGGGCAGCGAGGAGGACTCTCCTCAGCTGGGCTGCTGGAGTGAGCGGACCGAGCCTTTGGGCCTGTGGTCATCCTGTGAACCGTCCCTAGCCCAAATCCAAAGAGCATGTGCTTTCTCTTATTTATATAAATAAGTCTGGGGGTCAGAAGCTCAGGTTGACAGTTGAGGACACTGATGGCCAGGGGGGTGCCAGACTGCCCTGAGGCCTCCCCACCTGGGAAATGTGGGTCTCACACCACCTTGTACATTATGAAAAGGGCTTGCCAAGGAGGCACCCCGAAACTGAGCCAGGAGGGGCCAGGGGTGCTGAATGGGGGGAGGAGGGCACCCGGGCCAATTTCCCAATTTGGCCAACGTGGGAAAGGTGGTCTCCACATCCCCCTGCGGAATGGCCACGGGTCCCCGCTCTGCCCGCCAGCTGACAGTGCCCCGCCTCCACTCCCAGGCCACCAGCCCTGGCCTGCCCCTCTCCCAGAGGAAGTCATCCTGGTGGCTGGACTGCAACAGCCAGGAGCCCACAGAGGTGGAGACCATGGCACACACCCAAGAAGTGAAGCAGTGCCCGGACACCTGCACACCCTGTTCTACGTTATCCCCAGTACCCAAGGGGTGGCAACATGGCAAATGGCCGTCGACCAATGAACGGGTAAACGCAGTGCGATGATGTAGCCATACAGACAACAACAGCACTCAGCCGCTAGGAGGAACGCAGTACTGAATGCACACTGCAGTGGACCAGCCCTGAAATCATGCGTGGGAAAGAAGCTAGACACAGAAGGCCACGTTCTGGAATGATTCATTTACACCAAACGTCCAGAACAGGAGAGGGAGAGAGAGATAGAAGCATCAATAGCCTGCCTCCTACATGCCATCTACTGGGGATCGAGCCCACAACCCAGGCTCTACCAGGAATCCAACTGGCGACCTCTTGGTGCCTGGGTTGAGGCCAACCAACCGAGCCACACCAGCCGGGCCAGACATTTCTTGAGCCCATAGACGAAGGCAGATCAGGGTTGCCAGGGGCTGCAAGGGTGCGGGGATGGGGACAGGGTCTCCCCTTTCGTTTGATGGAAGCATTGTGGAACTAGATGGTGGCAGTGGTTGCACAAAACTGTGACAGTGCTAAACGTCACTGGTGATGCAGTTCATGTGAGGTGTATTTCACAATGAAAACGATTTTAGAACGAGGAAGACGAGGCCGGCGTCAGCCTCCCCATCTGCAGGCTCTCGTTTAAGAGGCCAAACCCCCAGCCTTCCTTCCCGCCTCGTGGCGGGGAAGGCGTGGGCTCCTGGGAGGGCCGCCCCAGAGCCACCGGGAGGATAGAGCGGAGCGCCTACCCGATAATTAAGGTCTCTGCCAAACTTAGTCTTCCAATTAGTTTCCTTCCAAGTTAAATCCTTCCCTTCCCTTCCTTAGTCCTCTGGCTTCTCCTCTTCCATGCTGTCAGCTCTTTCCCATGGGAACAGGCATGGAGAGCAGGGGCAGTGCAGGTCCTACCCACAAGGAGCAGGGGCAGAGGGAGGGAGTGGAGTGGGCAGAGATGAGGACGCTGAGACCGATTCCCAGGGCAGTTCTGTGGGAGTCAGAAAATGCCGCCTCTTCCCCTGATGGGCCGTCCCTGGCGGCAAGGCTGGGTCTCAGCTCCCCTATGCCCCTCCCCTGGGTCCCCATGTTCAGTGAACAGCCTGCCCAGCTACATATGGAAACCCATCCTCTGAAAATCTGGACTAAACAGGACCTTCTGCCCCCAAAATGGATGCAGGTGTACACACACACACACACACACACACACACCCTATTTTATTGGGAGGTTTTGAGACCACTTCAGAAGCCTAGTCTAATAAGTACTCAAGAAATGCCTGGCCGGTGTGGCTCAGTTGGTCGGCCTCACCACAGGCACCCAGAGATAGCCAGTTTGATTCCTGGTCAAGCCTGGGTTGTGGGCTCAATCCTCAGTAGAGGGCATGTAGGAGACAGGCTATTGATTTTTCTATCTCTCTCTCCCTCTCTTTCTCTCTCTCTCAAAAATCAATAAAAACGTGTATATATATATATATATATATATATATATACACACACACACACACACACACACACACACACTTTGTATATATCACCACCAGCAATACTTTTAATATATATTGTATATATTAAAGAAAGGCC